TTAACGCTAGCCTCGCTCTCTCTTCGGGCTCCGACTAGTTTATGGAATCGCTAACACTTTACTTAAAACTGCTATCTTCGGACATAACGTAAATCTCACGTGTTACCTGAACAAATACACGTATACAGCGGTACCTTCGCTACACGAAAAACTTTGCTAAATTATGGAATTTTTACTTTTTTGCGTTCACCAATATGACAGCTGTTTCTCAGCAAGTAGACCTCCCCCGCTCCGGGAGCTAACGGCTATTCTCCGTATTAATATCGCTGCTTTTGTGCCAATTTCTCAACCTAAAGCAATCCACGATCATTTGTTAAATACATCACAAGCCTCACCGTGCTCTCAATAAAGTAATTCAGATCCTCATCTCTTTTTGTTTCTCGGAACAAACTTGACGAAATGGAAGGGTTGCCGTGCCTTCAATTCAGTTTGATTTTCAAAATAAAATGGCGACTATCACCGCCGCGGCGCGCTCACGGTTCGAGAGAGACGAGTGCGTGAACTTATTCGCGCGACACACACCTGAAACCGCCACATATTCAGTCAGTATTTTATTCATTTAAAACGATAAAAGAGAAGAAGTTATATACGACAAACAATGAAACTGGCGATATTAAAAATATCTAAATAAAAAGGTTTGCTGTGCAGATTTTTTCCCCCTAAACTAGGAAGGAATACATTTTAAAGGGACCTGCGCAAATTTCACACGTGAAGGTGAGCAGGCTGGTGCTCTGCAGCCTGTGCTTTCTGTTTCTTTTGTAATGATGAAAACGATGTCACTGGGGTTGTAAATTCAGGGACATGGCAGACGATTTGGGTTTCATTAGGTTGTAAATAAAAAAGGATGGTACGGCTAAACAAAAAAAGATCCCACCTATAGCCTGCAGGGTTGGCCAGATACCTACAAGGTTGGTCTGACTACAAGCAGGCGGAAAGGCAGTTTGGTGTCAGCGTCAATGTCAAGAAAATAAATGAGATATAGATTTCAGGTGGCACAGAAAGTGGGGAAGCAGGTGTGAAAATGGTCTCCAGCAAGGATTTTACCTGGAGCCAAAACACTTCCTTCCTTCCTTCTGCAGATGTGTGGTTCGTGCATCACTATGTGGTGTGGCGGCTGCTCTGTGACAGGGAAGAAGACTCTACTGAGGGTGATGAAAGCTGCACAGAGGATTGTTGCCAGCAGCTTCACCACCACCACGGACATCTACATCAGCAGATGCAGGAAAAGGACCTGCTGTATCTTGAAAGAGCCTATAGTCACCCAGGACACACACTATTATTGTCCCCCTCCCCTCAGGCAGGAGCATCAAGAGTAGAGTTCCCAGACTAAGAGACAGTTAACACGGTTGAACTTTGGTGGTGCTTTCTATCATCTGCTACTCCCAACCAAAAGCAACAGATATGAGCAATCGCCTGTCTTTGTGCTATTTGCTGCACATGTTGTAAACATGTTCAGTTCCTTGGTTCTGCAAATATTCCTCTTGTGTTCACATTGTTGTTGATCAGTACAGGTGTTGGAATGACAATAAAAATCCTTGAATCAATCCTCAAAGTTTGGATAGCGTTAGTTATCTAACTATCCAATAACATAAATAGAATTATATTGAAAATATTAAACAAGATAAAATCAGTTTTTATTCATAGCTTGGTATTCTTAAGGTGAAATCTTACCAAGTCTTGACATAATACAACATGTTAGCTGTATAGTTGTCCAGAAATGGTAAATGGCCTGTATTTATATAGCGCTTTACTAGTCCCTAAGGACCCCAAAGTGCTTTACACATTCAGTCATCCACCCATTCACACACTGGTGATGGCAGCTACATTGTAGCCACAGCTGCCCTGAGGTGCACTGACAGAGGCGAGGCTGCCGGACACTGGTGCCACCGGGCCCTCTGACCACCACCAGTAGGCAACGGGTGAAGTGTCTTGCCCAAGGACAAAACGACCGAGTTGGTCCAAGCCGGGGCTCGAACCGGCAACCTTCTGATTACAAGACGAGCTGCCAACTCTTGAGCCACGATCGCCCACAGAAACATCTTTGGGTGCTCCCATCTTGACTGACAGGTATTGTTTCCTTCATCAAACCCAACATTCATTCGACTGCCAAGTATTCAACATCTTTTTTTTTTATCGAGTCCTTGTTTTTTTGTCTAGAGTTTCACATTTTGTTGAACACAATGAATTTGAATTCATGTTTTGAAACACACTTGCTCGGGGACTCAGAGATGCTTTCTTTCTAGGAGATAAAGGAGGACAATAAATCCCTTAATGAGCAGTTTTAAGATCAACACAGGAAGGAAGTAGGGGGGGAAAAAAGCTTGAAGGAAAACACAAGCCTCTAATAAATCATCAGTAAATATAGGGCTTCATACTAAAGCTCATGTGGTAACCCTGGAAGTCCTTCTGAAAAAGAAAATGGTTGAAAAAGAGGGGGGGCAATAAGGACAAAAGCTTCGAACTGGAGATGCAGTGGAAATTAAGAAGGCTCTGCTCTGTGACAAACAGTTTAAACAACAGGAGGCGTGCCAGGAAAAGAAAAACAGGGGTGAACTCTGAGTCAAGTCACGATAGCACACTTAAAATAATAGTTGATTCTCATGCCATCATGAAGACATATCTTCATTAAGGTAACTAAAACATACATATGTATGTTATTAGAAAAGGTCATAGATAGACTTTTCCCCGTGCTGAATAACAGCAAATTTGAAAACAAAATTGGCCAAGAGACACGTGCCAAGGACTGATGGACTTTGATACAATTGCCAAGGGTAATTTTTAAAATGTTGAACCTCACTGAACCATCAGTTACTGATGATATGTCCTCAAATCGAGATTTGGAGATGAACGGAATATAATGTGATCATTGTACTGACGTGTGCAGCTGTCTCAAGGTATCTTGAGGGCTGCATTGTCAGTCGTAACCTATATTAACCTTTCCAGAAACAGGCAACATGGGACTATACACACCCAAGTCAGCTGCACAACTCAGTGCAGCTGATTTGGAGTCTCCTGGGACGGTACTGTCAGATACACCCTGGATAATAGTTTCAGGATATGGAAACAGAAGAATATGGAGATCCAACCTGGTTCAGTTCAATTCGCTTTTATTTATACAGTGCCAAATCACACCAACAGTCGCCTCAATTAGGTTTTTTTTATTGTAAGGTAGACCCTACAATTATACATACAGAGAAAAACCCAACAATCATATGACCCCTATGAGCAAGCACTTTGGTGACAGTGGGAAGGAAAAACTCCCTTTTAACAGGAAGAAACCTTCAACAGAGCCAGGCTCAGGGGGGGGCGGGGCCATCTGCTGTGATTGGTTGGGTTGAGAGAAGGAAGACAGGATAAAAGACATGCTGTGGAAGAGAGACAGAGGTTAATAACAAGTATGATTCAATGCAGAGAGAAGAAACACCCAGTGCATCATGGGAATCCCCAGCAGCCTACGTCTATTGCAGCATAACTAAGGGAGGATTCAGGGTCACCTGGTCCAGCCCTAACTATATGCTTTAGCAAAAAGGAAAGTTTGAAGCCTAATCTTGAAAGTAGAGATAGTGTCTGTCTCCTGAATCCAAACTGGAAGCTGGTTCCACAGAAGAGGGGCCTGAAAACTGAAGGCTCTGCCTCCCATTCTACTTTTAAACACTCTAGGAACAACAAGTAGGCCTGCAGAGCGAGAGCGAAGTGCTCTAATAGGGTGATATGGTACTACAAGGTCATTAAGATAAGATGGGGCCTGATTATTTAAGACCTTGTATGTGAGGAGCAGGATTTTGAATTCTGGATTTAACAGGAAGCCAAAACAGGAGAAATCTGCTCTCTCTTTATCTTCGGTTGTCTTCCTTATCTGTAACCACAGATGGCATGGCCCTCTCCTCCAACCCACAGTACACAGTATGGTCGTCACATCTTTCGAAGCATAACCAAACCCATTAACGTATTTGTTTCTAAGCAATCAAAGCTTTCTCTAAAAGATAAAAAGAACATGCAGGTGTGCTTATGATTCACTGAAGATCAGACAGGCTATTATCTGTAAAGCCACAGGCAGATCATTCACCTGGATTGCTGAGTGTTGATTAAAGTGAAAAATCCTAAAGTGGTATCCTCACAGATGCTTCCAGCTTCCCTCTTAATTAAACCAACCCAGGTATTGGTTTTTTGTTTGTTTTTTTGTGATACTCAGTTTTTACTTTACTGCTGTCACTTGAGTGAACCTGATATGCAAGGTCAGGGTTTGTTTGTGGTCACTGTTTTTTACATGGATAATTTTGAAAAGGAGTACTGCTAAAAAATGTCAGCGAAAGAAAAACTAAACAGGTAATGAAGAGGAGAGGAGGCAAATGAGTGATGTGAGTGACCTGAATGGACAGGATTGTAAAGGAGAATATCAGAGAAAATACTCAAACTGAGTTATTTGGACTCAAGTATGTTTGGACATGTGCAGTGGGAGGACAGTGCATGTATTTTACAAAGGATGGCGAATACGGAGCTGACAGGCAGGAAGAAAGGAGGAAGACCACAAAGAAAGGAGGACTTGCTGTGAGTTGGTGTGACAGAGATGCATGCTAGTGAGATGGAGGGAGATTATTAATCTGAAGGAGCAGAAGAAAGAAGAAAAACAATATGACAATAAACAGCAGTGTACAAATGTAAATGCTGTACTGAAATCTGTATTTTTAATTCAACTAATTAATGGAGTTATATGTCATATATTTATTTACTAATATATGTGTTTCACGATTATTATCACTTTATATTTCATTTTTTTACATCCTTAGTTATTAATTATTTGTCAAGTTTTAAATTTAACACCTACATTTAGTTAATTTGTAGTTTCGTTTCTGCCTGTTTGTTTACAAATCACTTTTAATGTGTAAACAAAGAGCTACAAGCTGCTAGGAGTTTCAAAGGCGCAACCATTAATGTTATTAGAGGGTCGTCCAGCAGGGGGCGATGGTGCACCTACACACTGTGAGAGCAGTAAAGCCAGAAGAAGAGCTCTTCCCCTCCTCGTTCATCACCACAGGCTGTATCTGGTAACATTGGCGGAATAACACCAGGAGAGCGTCTTTTTCTGGGTGTTTTTAAAGCTGCCTTTTGCTGAGGTGAAGTTTAAAGGCAGGCAAAATGTCGTCTTGGGTGAAATCACCTGCGGGTGGTCGGCGGCCATCCGGTAACCCTAACGGAAGGTGAGTTTCCAGGCTAGCGAGGTTAGCATTAGCTGCTAGCTCACAATAATATAGAAACGTGAAACGCTGTCAATTAGCGGCCCTATAAACCGCCACCTGTGCTGTGTAGTGCTCCACAGCCGCGTGTGTTTCGGAGGGCAGCTCCATACCCAACCAGAGAGGAGAGGACCGAAGAGCTCAAGGATGCCCTGGACAGGTACCAGCCTCGGGCAGCCTTTTTGTTGTCGGCAATGGTTTAAAGTGACCAAAGCTTTATTATGAGTGATTTACTGTGCACCTTCACTTCTGTGTGTAGTGCTACACGTCATTCATGGTTTTGTTTTAGATGAAAGAAAATGCACCGTCTTAGTAAATAAAAACTGCATTTAAAGCCTCCAAGTTGCTATAAGTCATATTTAATAGTTCCTTATAGCTGCCCAACTCTCTTTATGTCAGCACTGGGGAACATCTTACTTCCTTCCCAGCCAGACTTTTCTTTCCTCCCTGAAGGTAAATCATGAAACAAATAATTCTAGGATCTTGTTTACAGGTTTAACTGGTTAGACCAAACTTTGAATGCAGCTCTCCAGTTTGAGTACACTTACAGTTTCAGCTGCCTAGCGAGGTTGTAGACTCATCTTTAACACAGAAATCACTTTTATTTGGGTAAGTTATCAAACTTGTGTGTTTTGGCAAAAGTCCTTGAGTCTCTCGTCAGTGAGCAATTAAAAGAGTTCTTGTACTCCTAATGAAGTTCTTTCAAAACTACAATCTGGGTTCAGAAAACAGCATAGTGCTGTCACGGCTGCCACAAAAGTGATAAATGACATACTTGTTGCTCTTGATAAAAAACAGCACTGTGCTTCTCTCTTTATCGACCTGTCAAAAGCTTTCGACACTGTGGATCACGCCATTTTAAAGCATAGGCTTCTTTCTTTGGGGCTGTCTAGACATGTTGTCTCCTGGTTTACTAATTATTTGAGTGACAGGACTCAATGCATTAAATGTGAAACTCTGTGCTCAGAACTTTTGAATATTCACACTGGGGTGCCACAGGGTTCAATTTTAGGACCTCTGCTGTTCATCATGTATATAAATGATTTGGGACAAAATGTGTCCAATGCTAGTTATGCATTTTTATGCTGATGACACAGTTATTTATTCCTTTGGCTCAAACTTTGAAAAGGCAATAGAATCGTTGCAGAAAGCTTTTGACGTGGTTCAGCACACACTTCTGGAGCTGAAATTGGTTCTCAATGCTGAAAAGACAAAGCTAATGTTGTTTTCAAACATGAAGAGATTTCCTCAAACTGTCCCCTTGGTGTCCACTCTTGAGGGAAACCTCATAGAAGTGGTGCATACGTATAAATATCTTGGCTTTTTAATTGATGATTCTCTGACCTTTAAACCTCACATAGACAATCTTGTGAAAAAACTCAAACTAAAATTGGGATTTTTCTTTCGAAACAAATTTTGCTTTTCTTTTGAGACAAAAAAGCGTCTTGTAAATGCTACATTTTTATCTGTTTTAGATTATGGTGATCTGCTGTACATGAATGCTTCCGCCCAGTGTCTTCATAAGATTGACTCAGTTTATCATGCCTCCTTACGGTTTATTACAAACTGTAGGGCCTTGACCCATTGTTGTGATCTGTACGCTCGAGTGGGATGGCCTTCGTTGTCCTCCAGGAGGTTTGCTCACTGGTGCATCTTTATTTATAAGGCCCTGCTTGGACAAATGCCCACCTACATTTGCGATCTGCTCACACGGAGAAGTACTGTTTCTTACAGCCTGCGTTCAAGCGATCTTTTATTGCTCAATGTTCCATTTGCCAGAACTGAACTGGGAAAGAGGGCTTTTACTTATGCTGCCCCTTTCACATGGAACATGATGCAAAAAGACTGGAAGATAGCAGATCTTATTTCATTAAATGCTTTTAAGTCCAGATTGAGAGAGCCAGAGAAAAATGTTTTTAAAATGTAATTGTTATTTATAATATGTATGTAACTTTGTAATTTCAACGTGTTGTCGCCTCTTGGCCAGGACTCCCTTGCAAAAGAGGTTTTTAATCTCAATGGGACTTTTCCTGGTTAAATAAAGGTTAATAAATAAATAAATAAATAAGTTCATAATTGCATGTGCAACAGGCAAAGCAGGTACTGATAGAAGCTTGGTAGTTTGGAATCATAGATGTAAAATGAACTAAAGTTACCTGAACATTAATTTTTAGTGTGTGTTGTAAAACTGTTAGTGCTTAGTTAGAGTATATAAGCTGAAAGCAGCTGTTCTGAGCTCTGTGCAAACTGCACTGACTTTTTTGCGGCCATGTCACCAGACTAGTATAGAAGTAACGTGTTACTGCTGCTTCCTGATGAGAAAAATATTGCACACTGTTCACTGTAGAGCATGTGCTATATGGATGGAAGAATTGGGGCCCAACTTTTATCTTTAAGTGAGGTGTCACAGGTGTGTGCTCCTGGCTGTGGCGTTCCAAACATTTGTGACGGGATGGGTCATTCAAACGAGTACGCTGAATTTGAGCGTCGTACTATAATAGGATACCGTCACTGCAACAGTTTCTTCTCTCCTACATATTCCACAGTCAACTGTAAGATGTGTTTTTGTAAAGTTTAGCAACCAGCCACTCGGTCACGAACGTAAAGTTAGAGAGTGGGGTCACCGACTGCGCTCTGCTGACTCACCAACTCCACATTTCCAAACTTCTCAATGAACATCTGTGCTGACATGCCACTGGAGTTTCAGGGTTTGGGTTCCGGCAGCTGAGCAGCTCCCGTGGGTCTAAAGTGTGGGTGATCCCATACTTTAGTCTCTATTCTGTACTTTGGGACAGAAGACGGATGTAATTTTACTGTCAACTATGACAAAATCAAGTATTTCAACACTTTAGCTGTGAATCCTTTGAAAGTGTGAATGTCAGAACATGCTGACGTAATGTTTTAGTAAGACATCAGGAATACGGTGTTTGCAACAGTCTACTATTGTTTCTGTGTTGTGAGGGGAAAAAGCTGTTTGAGTGAAACTTAAAACTTTGATGCACTGAATGTCGGACGCACAGGCTCCTTCGTGCACTTGCTCTCTGAGTCTCACTTTCAGAAAATCTATTTTTGGATATTTATATGCTCGTCATATTAAGGTGTCGTAGAGGAGGCATAGAAATACCTCCCATATTAAACTGTTATGACACTTTTCACTGCTTTTTTTCAGTTATGAAGAGCTAGAGCAAATCCAAAACTACAGTGGAAGTGTGAAGTACGAGGGCTACAAGCATCAGCCAAATGGTGAGATTTGTTTCTTTGTTTTGTCCGTATGAGCAAAATGGATACGCTTTACACAAGACATGTTTTTAAATACTCTAAAATCTTAATTACACATTGATCCAAAGAAGAAAAGAGTGCAGTAATATTTTTGCCGCTTTTCGAGTCTCTTTCAACGTCACCGTTCTCAAACTTCCAGCCAAACCAGAGGGTGGCACTCCAGCAGACAGACGTAAAACGCTGTATCAGAAGTTCTACAGACAGGTGCAGGAGGAGAGGAAGCCAGCCGACTGCGTGGTTCTCTCTGTTACCAAACAGTGCCTGTGAGTATTTATTCATTGCCAACAGAATTTGCTGGTTTATCCTTTACTATCAGCGTGAGGAGACTGATATCATTCAGTGTTTCCCCACACTCGGGCCGACTCATATTATCTTTTGTTTTTCTATCTTCCTCAGTCTTATATTAAAACCTTAGTTGATGCTAACAACCTTTCCCCGGCTGGTGTTTTCCCTACCGGTTGGCTTGCTGGCCAGGTTACTGTTGTAGTGTTTCTCAGTGTCATTGAGTCAACTGCACCGTCTTGGACTGCAGCTGGCCACAGTAGTCGTCCTCCTGCTTTGGAGCTCTGCTGTGAGCTTTAGGGTCACTTTAATCAGAGCCTGCAGCAGATGGAGGACTGGTTCTTGTGCTGCTGTGCTAAGCTCACAGAGACCGCAGAACAAATGAGTGCTTCCAGCAGCAGCTGCAGACCATGACTGTGGAGTTTTGGTTCCCTGCAGGATGAGACTTATTGGATGAAAGCTGTTTTGATGTGTCAGTAAGTATGAGGCAATGAAAGTGTTAGGAGCAGAAGGACTTATAACTCTGTATCAGATCTTATCCTTTTATTATCACCGTCAGTTTTTTGCTTGCCTTTCTTTACTTTCTTGGTGTGCTGTGCAGGCTGCAAATCGTTTCAGCTACGAGGCTTTGTTCACATTTAACGTGCTGTAACTTCAAATTTGTTCTGGCTACTCAAGTTTAGGTTCTTGTTCCCTTTGGAAAGTCTTTTTGTTGATGTATTAACAGTGTTTCACACGCAGACCCTGTGTGTAAGTGTTCATATAACCACATTTCCAATGCAGATGTCTGCTGTGAAGCTTTGTCACCATGGCAACAAACAAAAAAACAACAAAAACCAAAGTAAAAGCCCACAGGTTTTTTTGCACACGTAGTTTTCTTCCTGTGTTGTGTTGAATGATTGTCTGTTAAATTAGTTGTGATAACTGACAACCACAGACGAAGCAACGTGAACACCAGCAAAAAAACACCTCACTTTGTCACTCACACAAACACATTTACATAAAGTTGGAACAGCTGTTTGTTTTTGGTGTCTTGATCAGTCAGTAACGAAGATTGTATTCATTTATGCACAGTCAAAAAATGTCATGTAGCACATCTTTAAAATTCAGTGTTCAACTACACACTGATTTGCATTGAAGTACATTAACAGATACATACATGTGAAGGTTAAACATTCTTGAATACACCTTTCACATATCAAATGTGCCACTTGGATCACGTTCTGTTAAAATACTCTTTATTTTATGCTTTTGAAAAACTGCCACAGTTGTAAACCAGTAATCAATCAATCGATCAGACCTTTATTTGTCACATGCAAGTTTGCACCTGCAGTGGAATTGGACCCCCCCACCCCCCGACCATGACATTCTACACATGGTAAAAGTCTAACAGAGTAGCGGTCAAAGCACACTAAAAAACTTGCACTCCTTATGCTCTGCAAGATTGCAACATCATCAGTCAATTTTCACGCACTTCTACACTAAAAGCAACGATTAATTTGAATCACAAATATGGCCGCTTAGGCTTGATTTAGGCCATACTCCTGTGTTGAATGGCACGGCCATGCACCCTATACTGGGTATACAGACGTGTCCAAGAAGACTTGCTGAAGTTCAAACTGAGCATCAGAATCAGAGAGAGTGCTGATTTTAGGGGACACATTTAATGTGGAATGGTTTCCAGCACCTTGTTGAACTTGCAGGGTGTACTTAATAAAGTGTCCTACTAGTATAGTCACAAGGGTGTCAACCACTGGAATTGGTTCAGCACAGGAGTATAACTCAAGCTAACTATGAGACTCAGTTGATACAGATGGACTGGCAGTTATAAAATGCTTATTGATAAGTATAAATTGATGCAGCACTTTATTTGACTTTCTCAGTATCCCAAAGACACTAGGAAATACTAGTATTATAATATTTACGGTACAAACATCTCATTAAGAATAAACCCACAATACAACACTAATCACACCGATGAGAGATTTGAAAATCTGTGTTAGCTTCACATAAAACACTGTTTTTGTTGGGAAAGCACATTTTAAATGAAGGAGTCACCCTTTGCTCCGTCACAGATTTAACTCGGGGTATCTCCTATACGAGGTGAGTCGCTTAATATAGAAATGTCACGTTAACAAAGTGTTTCTCTTCCTCTCAAAGGGATTACCCCAAATCGCTAAGCCAGTGCTTGCAGGAGCGTGGCCTGTCAGTGGAAATGCTCTACCTTCAAGCGGAATCGGGCCTGACCCGGGCCCTACAGGATGTCCGAGCAGAAGGCTCCCCCTTATGTATTCTGGTGGAGCAGACAAACGTAGCTCTGTCCTCCTGCACTGTTATCATATTCTCAGAATCCCTCAAAAGTAAGTTCGTACCCCTCGTATTCCTTCAAACTTACCAAACCATCCCTTTTACTAGGCTCAGTTCAACAGTCTGTAGATTCCACATCTTTAAACACGAGGTCTAAAACAAATTTCTTGTAAAACCAAATAAATTAAAAAGACACACTACCATTTAAAAGACCACTATCTAAAGTTACACAAAGCTACAGTTCTTCAGTCATGCATGCATTTAAAAACTGTGCCGAGTCTATCATATCTACATGTTAATAGCTGGATCTTGGCAAACGATCCTTTGGCTAGCACATGCATATACTTCACACAACAATACATGACAATACATCCCAAAAAAACCAAACCAAAAACTAAAAAACGGTCAATTTATTACAACATGTGTTTCATTTTATGGGTCATCAGTTCTGTCACTAACTGCTATCTTAAACCAAATAACAAACCAGACCAAACCAACAATCAGACTTCTTTGGAAGACGGCACAAAGGCAACGTTGTAGCTACCATTCAGACTATTTGTTAGCTTACACACCAACTTCACTTCATCTTTGATTTTTGTGCGATAACGTGAGTGTTACTCTTAACAAAAACAAATAAACCAAATCTGTATTATTATCAGACGTATGCACGATCTGTGCCAGGTGCCAAACGCAAGACCTGGGCTTGAGGTCAGGTTCAGCTGCATATGAGGTGCAGTCGAGACGTTTAGCAACACAGACCATAAAAGTATTTCTGTGTCACCTCAGTCCTGTGGGAACCAGATGTACCAAGTGTCGCAAAACTACAACGTTTCAGCTGAAACTTCATTTCAGGGAGGACAGAAAATTCTCAGGATGGTGTGAAGTAGGGCTGCCACAAACGATTATTTTGATAGTCGACTAGTCACCGATTATTTTTGCGATTAGTCGACTAATCAGATCATCATCCATTGGACAGAAAACGTACAGCTTATTGCACCAGCAGCATCTGCTCTTATATAACCATCATTAGCTTACAGCTTTATGTGTTTAAGGTCTGTGCTAACTAAAAATAAACACAAGATGGTAGTTTATTAAATTTTAATGAAATTTGCAGATTGTCTCGGTGAAGTTTAATAAACTCAGTCGTCTGCGCTTTGCTCCCTAAAATATAACGGGACACCGGAGTAAATTCTCGACCATCTCACACTTCTGTTTAATCAATTTTCTGTTTGACGTTTGTTCAGCTGTGTGAAAACCACCCAGTGGATTAATAAAGTTTTATTTTATCTAATCTAACCTAATCTAATAACTTTAATCTCAGCCAAACCGATTTACTCAGGAACAAATAAAGGTCTGTCATCTCGGTTGTGGGCAAAAGACCTGGAACTGACAAATAAAGGCTATCTCATCTCATCAACAAATAAAAAACACAGAAAAAAGCCAAACAATAACATTTTTAAGTTATCTAAGTGACTCATATATGTTTAACCTGAGTAGTGAAAGACTGCGGTGGGTTTGAAAACGATCTGCCGGGAGTCCGGTGTTCTCACGGCTCTAGTGACCTAGCCCCCGGCTAGCTATCGAGCTAGTGGGTAACAGACGTCTCCGAAAACGTCGGAGCGCTTTTGAAAATATGCGGTGTCCTGATAAACTGAGCAGATATTTGAGGTTTGCACAGCTACATTCTCGCCTGAAAATATGTGAAACGTTTATTTTGTGACCCAGAAAGAATAATAAGAGTAATATTAAAACTAACTAGCTGCCGCCATTGTTGGAAACTGAGCTCTTAAATCCTGCTACTTATTCCTGCGCCTTTCAGGATCTTACAAAGCTTCAAACGACGCGTCGACTATTAAATTAGTCGATTAGTTGATAGTCAACGTAATCGTGACTAGTCGACTAATCGTGGCAGCCCTAGTGTGAAGATTGTATACAAATCCTTTCACAGTTCCACAGCGGCGTGTATCACAGTTCAGCTGACCCAGTTTTCTCCTTCGAACTCCTACGGTCGGACTCCTACTGTAGGACTGCATTTTCACATCTGAACCTGGGAAGCAGATTTGCTGTGAATGTCAAAAGGAGACCGTGACCATGCTCCTGATGCCTGTGGTTTCTCAAACTGAGAAATTTTAGGTCGAAGCTGAACAAGCAGCACTTTTTAACAGAGAGTAATCCTCGACTCCAAAGCCTGAGCTGAACTTTGGATCTGCATCAGATCAGATACTGGCTCTAAATATGATCACGAGGAGGAAACTGGCTACATTTAAATCAGTTATGGTTTTATGGACCTTTATGATCTAACCTCGTAACTGTGGGAATTTTCATTTTTATCTTTTGTATCCTCCTGGACGAAGCGTGCGGCCGGTTTTACAGAGGCATGACCCAGGCTCTGGATAAAATCAAACTCAAGTTGTAATAATGTGCAGTTTGCTTTAAATCTGCTTAATATGACATTTTATGCTTTATTAGCACACATACACGACCTAATCTTTATAACACAAATGTTAAACACATTGTTAGGTGAATTCAACCAAAATTAGATCAATTCAACAAACACAATTGTCTGTCCTCAGAAACAAAGCTGAAAAAGCGTCACCATTCATTATATTTAGAATAAAATGTCTGGATGCACATTTAGATAAATTCAGTACTTACTAATCAGGTTGTATTAAAGTTACTGATAATGCACGTATTTGCACAAAATGCATGTCCCTCAGTGCCACACATCCAGTAATCCAACACCACCCCCACCCCCCGAAGCATTACTTACCAAAATACTAATTTAATCAGCTGATCCCAACATTGACATCAAAACGATCTCAGCGCGAGCTGAAAGGGATCTTTTTTTCACCTCTTTCTCCTACCTCAGCCTCATGACACTTCACCGTTACCGTTCCCTTTCCCTCCTCAGTCCATCGAAACATGCCCAAAGACCAGGCCATGGACTTTGTTCTAGCAGAGTACAACCGTGGACTGGCTAAAGAGCGACCCCCGAGGGACCCAGCAGACATTGCAGCCGAGGCGTCGCAGCTGCTCGATGACTTTCTGGATCGAGAAAAGATCGCGCGCCACACCGTTCCCTCTGAAACACGTCAGCTCCTCGTACTGTTAGGCGAGGGTGTCCATCTGTACCCCGAGGAGTTGGAAACCATCTCGGAGTACGTGCGCTCTCGGCAGGACCACGTACAAGGTGAAACGATTACACAGCAGTTCCTACAGAAGCGCTGTTTCAGCTTTGACTTCTTGTATCAGCTTTGCTTTGTCCTTAGGTCATATATCTCTGTTTCACCTGCGTTTTATCTCTTCAGCTTCCAACAGTGAGGGTGAGAAAGGGATCATGTTACCTCCAGGGTTGGGGAAACCACCTCCTCTGCTTCCGACTCCATCTGGGCCACCACAGCCTCAGCCTGCATCTTTAACAGGGGGGCCCATGGGAGACCACGCCTCACCTTCACCTGTACCCCTCTTGCCTTCACCAGGTTTGGGTTTTCCCTCTTTGTGTCTTTTTAAATCTGTCAAACCTTTAATGCTGTGAGGCTGTGAAGCATGATGAAAAGTCCTGGTGTCCTACTTTGGTGAGAGTGCTAAAACCTACCACGGCATTGCTAATCATGAACAGCTAGAGGCTGATTTGCTTCTTTTTATTTTTAGTTGCTCATCCCAAAACCAAACCTCCTCCGCTGCTCTCCTTGCATCGCCTTCCTGGTCCGTCGTTAGGGGGCCCAATTGTCCGAGGTCCCCTGTCGTCACACATCCCTTACGGCGGTCCCGGTGTGCCTCGTGGGCCCCTGCTCCACCCTCCTCCTGTGTTCCACCCAGGCCCCAGAGGTCCCACTAGAGGAGCCCCTCCCACTCTAAAGAGTGCTCGCCCTCCACTTCTGTCGTCTCCAGGTTGGTCTTTGGTTTCTTTTGGGGTTTTTTTTTCTTTTCTTAAACTTTTGTCCTAAAGTCATGTTTTTTGCCTCTTTGTTTTCTCAGGTGCTCCTCTTCTTCGTCAGAGTGTCCCCCGGCATTAGGAAATGAGACGCACACACACAAATTTGCAGGTTATGAACAGTGTATCACTTCATGTTAGAGCAAAAGCATCCTTTTTTATGTTTTTTATCTAAATTTAGCTGGAAGATAAATGAAAGTTGATGTTATGTCTTCAGCTCACTGTGGGTGGTTTGAGTGGTAATGTTAAGACCCCCCCCCGAGGCATCGGTGCCTTTTTTATGTTTTGTCCGTCAGGGTCTGTAACTGTTGGTGAGTGTTGCACAGGTCCATCAGGTAGTTCGTTTAGCTGATTGCACAGAAATACAGCCACGCAGTAATCAATACCCAATCACGGCTGCAACAGGACGTCTTCTGTATTAAACGCCACGAGCCTACTTGCTGTGTACAGTTTTTCAACATGGTGCTTTGAATTTCTCAAAGTTTCTCTGGACAACAGATATTTCACTTTATAATGGTTTGTTCTTCGGAGCCGTATTTCTGGTTCAAATATAACTTGATTCATGTGTAATTTTATTTGTGCCACAGAGGAAAACGGTCACTCTGAAGGACTCTGTATGATGCATGCAGTATCTTCATGGCAGAACACAAACGCGTGTATTTGTTAAATTGCATTTCCTGCACTGTGCACAGTAAAATCGCTGTCGTGTACAGTACATTTCAGTAAAATAATCGTCCTTGTGACATTGGAATTGCAACTATCAGCTTTGTTTTGTTACCCAGGCTTCTGACAGAGTCCTTCTATCAAAGCACAAGACTAAGCTCCAACTATTTCCCAGCATAAATGAAAGAAATGCGACTCTCTTCATTATAAGTCCAGTGACCACATATTTTCTGAATGGCAGGTCTGATGTGAGTAAGAAGGCTCCACAGGTTTGGTTACACGCTGTGGGTTTCAGCCTTTAAGCTTAATATCTGTTAAATATGTGATGCAGGCAGAGCACACGAGTCTGGAACAAACAACTACTTATCATATGTGGCTTTTTTTGTCATTGCTAGAATTTCTAGCACACTGTTGTTTTGTTGCTAATATTTATTAGCATTACTGAAAAGCATTTATCTGGTTAAGAAGCCTTTTTCTGTTGGAGCTGCGGGAGGCTGAGGCCTCACAAAGACAAACGCTTTGCTTTTGTAGATACTGTAAAAATGTTTTTTTCTTCATGTTTTTGAACCACTGTATGCTTTTCCCTTTGCTGTGCGGCGTGCTGATGTTGAACAGGTTTGGAGTCCCGATTATATTTTCAAAGAAAACATTTATAAATGTTTTGAGACGTTTTTCTTTTATTACGAATTAAAATGAACATCTTGATACAAGTTCACCAAACTGACGCATCTTTCTGTAAGAGTCTGAATAGATGTTAGTGCTCAAATTCCTAACACATACGTATTGATCAGTCTATTTAAGTGAATAAAACATAAAAGTGAACCCTTTGTGTATTTTGTACAACGAGCTGCTGCAGCAGCGAGTGAGGCCTGGACAGGCTTTGGTTTCGCTGCATCGGTTTTTAAAGTTGTATGAGGATTTTTTTAAGCTCCAGTTGAAGCTCTCGCGTGGATGGAGATTTCTGGACTCATTTTTATTTCCATACTGGAAGCTTGCCTGAGCTGCTGTACAGTAACACACAGGAAACAGCTTCCAGGCTTCATGGTAGCGAACTGCATATTAAGTGGCACAGAAGTAGTTGTGTACATTTGTATTGGTGATTTTCTGTCGCGTGTTTGCTGTAATGTTCTTTTGACATCTTAGTGTAGTTTTAAACACCAGAGTCTCTACTTTGCTCTTTTTATACACAGTCATGTTGCTGACCTGTTGCCAGTTGTTCCAGCTGTTTGTTTTTACTGCCACCTGCTCGTCTAGCCTTTGTTTATCAGTTTATATATGTTCATATATTCTACTGTGAACAATCAAGATTATTATATATGGTTTTAATTTATTTACAGTCCTGTGCAAAAGGGTTTCAGCAGGTGAAAGGTGCTTTCAGAAATATAAACGATTGTTTATTGGCTCCAAATGTATTCTGCAGGACAACGACCCAAACACACAGCCAAAGTCATGAAGCGCTATCTTCAGCGTAAAGACGAACAAGAAGTCCTGGAAGTGATGGTACGGTCCCCACAGAGCCCTGATCTCAACATCGAGTGTGTCTGGGATCAGAGACAGAAGGATGTGAGGACGCCGACATCCACAGGAGATCTGTGCTTGATTCTCCGAGATGTTTGGAACGACCTACCAAGATTCTTTATTTGTCACGAACATAGTTAAAAAATGGTAAATGGCCTGCATGTGTATAGCGCTTTTACTCAGTCCCTAACAGTGTTGGTCAAGTTACTTGAAAAAAGTAATCAGTAACTAATTACTGATTACTTCCCCAAAAAAGTAATCCCGTTACTTTACTGATTACTTATTTTCAAAAGTAATTAGTTACTTAGTTACTTTTTAAAACACGATTTACAACCTGAGTAGGTGATAAAGTGATAGATCTTTCAGCCCAATTCTACTTTTTCTACATAATCATCATACAAAATGTGATCAGATGGAAAAGTCTCTTTTTAAAACTTGTTTTATTAGTTTTAATCTTTTAACTTTATGCATCAAGCAAAAATTTAATTATATGAAACATTCTCTGACTGGAAGAAATTAGTTTAACATTTAAACCTATTTTCTGCACATTCCAGCACATAAAATATTTTTTGTGTTTACACTCACTCTTTCAAATAGATGCAAGTAAAACACAGCAGAAAATAAATAAAGTCAAAGACTCAGCGGTCCTGTTGCTCTATTTTCACCTGTAAAGCAGGAGTGGGGTAGGCGGAGGTTTACCCTGGTGCAGGTGTGCCGCGGTCAGTGGAAGAATCCGCGAGTTTCTCTGTGAGTTTCCCATTACGTCGTAGCTACTCGGTGCTTGTTGGAAGTTTAGGGGTTTTTTCGCTGTAAAAAGAAGTTTTCTTCCCACGCACAGCGGACACTAATGTTTTTGTCACTTTTTATGGAATCAAACTCAAAGTAAGGTCAGTACTTCCACGCTTTAAACGCTGCACGCTCATACTCTCTCTGCAGTGATATATGATCCATTGTTGATCTGCACACAGCTGTTGTCACGAACGTCGCGCTCGCTTACGTCACTGTCATGAGACATTCTTGCAAAAAAACACGGTTTTAGTAACGCAGCGTTCCTACAGGAAAGTAACGGTAATCTAATTACTGTTTTTGCAATAGTAATCCCTTTACTCGTTACTTGAAAAAAGTAATCGGATTACAGTAACGCGTTACTGCCCATCTCTGGTCCCTAAAGACCCCAAAGCGCTTTCCACTACATCCAGTCATCCACCCACTGGTGATGGCAGCTACATTGTAGCCACAGCCACCCTGGGGCGCACTGACAGACGGACACTGGTGCCACTGGGCCCTCTGACCACCACCATCAGGCAAACATGGGGTTAGTATCTTGCCCTACAGTGGCTACAGCCACCCCTAATAAAAGTACAACACGCAGGTGACCTGATACGCTCGACTGTGCAAAAAGAGAGAGAACATTATATTCAGTGAGTGAGTTACATTATATAAAAAAATCTGGAAATTTACAGTTCAAAATCTGAGCATTGTGTGAGTGGGGTGTTAAAGTGTGCTGTAGTGAAGCCAGAAGGCTCAGCCGTGATATGAGAATGTGGTAACAATGACAGGAGAGAAGCTCCTCTTCAGCCTCTCTGTTGCTCGGGTGGTGTTGCATCTTCTGCCTGATTGCAGAAGTTGGGACAGTTTATTGCTGGGATGGGACGGATCCTTCAGTATGTGAGCTGCTCTGGACCAGCATCTCCTGGTGTAAATGTCCTGTAGCGAGGGGAGAGCAGCCCTGCAGCAGCGTTCTGCTGTATGGATAACTTTGAAGAGCTTTTTGGTCCTTACAGCCGAGTTCCTTCAAAAACTGTGTGCCAGTGTACTATTAGATTATTCTGTTATTATATGTTACCTTATATATGTAATCAAAGTAGTTGAATTAGAATACTGCTGTAGATCATATTATACCCTTTAATATAGAGTGTGTGAGCTGTATGTAGTTTAGTTCTCATTATACTTTTGAGTTAACAGAACATATTCACTTATTAGTTTATTAGACAAGTGTGCATCACTCTGTATCCTTGATCTGCTGTGATGTGTTACATGCTTAATTGTTGAATCATGAAGAGAAGCTTGTAAGCAGGAGACTCTGTGTCTAAGACAGGGGAGATAGATAGACTACATTCCACACCCCCACCTTACAGAAAGCAGAGAGACAACTGCCGAGGTCATAACTTAGGCGCTGTAACAGAGAAAGAATGTGATGTTTTGGCTTTTACGACTAGCTGGGGGCCACTAGAGACTATAAAAAGCTGAGCAACCCGTCACCATTTTGAGACTTGCTGTGACCCTCTTCAGGCATGTCTCCCCATCATGATGGTCCTTATGCTCTTAAGTGTTGAATTGTATGGAAATAAATGATTGTTGATTGAGCATAAATACACCGAGTATTGTCCTTCCTTCAGCCCAAAGATTCAAAGAATTGGGAGATTTCAACAGTACCTAGAAGAAGGCCAAGGCTGCTCACACCAAATGTGGATGTGATTTAATTTCTCCTTCTTTCATTCTCTGCATTTTGTTGATTGATGAAAATAAACAATGCTTTTGTTTTTGAAAGCTTTCTTTGTTTACAGCATTTTTTCCTCACCTGCCTAAAACTTTTGCACAGTGCTGTATTTTTTTAAATTATATTTCACAACTTTTTGCGGGTACTGGGGCATCAGATGTTACACACTCTATATGTTCAACCAAACTAAGTGGACAAGCAGCCTGGTGTGTGCACTCACGCACGCTGTTCAGAGGTTTCATTAAGCGATTTTGCAATAAGATGAGACTTTATTGATCCTACGCAGGGAAACCTGTGCGTTACCACAGCTCAGGTACAGATAGCAGAAGAATACAAAGAGTATACCAGAATACAGTCAAGTAATACAAAATAAACAAGATAATACAACAAGGACTTGCAACAGTAGCTGAGGTTCTGAACATGTTATATATTTTCCATCTACTATCCATATGAGGCTTGTGGAAATATGCAAGTATTAAATTTCAACTATTCTACTCTTACTGTGTAAGTAACAGATAACTATAAGTATAGACATGTACATGCACACATACATGTACAAATACACATACACCAAATATGTAGACATATGCATGCACACATCCATACGTCACCACTTCATGCATAATGCATCAATAGCAAGAGATTTGGGGCTTCAGTCATTTGAGGGATGTTTTTCTTTTCTTTTGTCAAAATAAAAAAAATCTAACGTTACCTTAATCCCGTCATGTGACACTGCGAGGCAATATTGTCCTCTGAAAGGAGAAAAACATCAGTTTCCAAAGCTGCAGGTTAAACTGGATTTTACAGCCCAACATTTTAATTCAAAACATGAAACTGGAATAAAATCGACTTTCTGTTTGAAGGAAAAACGATGCTGCTGCTTGGATTGTATCGTGTGTGCTTTTTTGAGTTGACATGAAGCGTAAACCTGTAGAAATCCTGTGACGTTGCACCTTTTCACCTCTAGATGGCGACACAGACCTGTTCTTTTATTTGATGTCACAGCAAAAGTTTGTCCTGTCAAATTGTTTATTCTTATGAAACTTGCTAATTTAAACACTCCTGAAACACAAAGTTTTCTCTGACAACACGACTGTGTGCCAAACCGAATGTGTGACCAGCATTTTCATTCATCACTGTGATGCTGGCATCGTGACTGCAGTTAGTTGTTGAGCATCTTTACAGTCAACATCATACTACCCAGAGTCAAAGTAATTATATGTATAAATAGAAAGTGACATCTGCATTACTGCGTCGTCCTAGCTTTGCATGAATGAAGATGTTATATCGTGGCACGATCTTCCTGCCTCCTCATCTCTCTCATTTAACAACAAGGATCAGGTTTTAAATTGGATGGAACTGGGTGTGGATGTGACGGAGTGCTGCGTTCCCGTCTCTTTCCTGTTCCTGAGAATAAATTGTTACTTTTCTTACTGTATAAAAGTAGAAAAGAAAAGAACAACTTGTGAGATACTTGCTGTGTAAGTAAAAAGTGCATTATGATTATTTCACTGATGACATTATATGTGGGAGTCAAATAAGCTGTGACACAAACACAGAGCAGGAATATGGCTGAATGTGTCTGATACTCTCCTCATGGTGCCTCCACCCCCTCTCCTCCAGCTGTGGCTGCACTGCTGTGAGGAGCCCATCAACTCAGGAAGTAATGGACAACTGTCTTCACCTCATTACACCAGCCTACACACAGACTCTGATTGGACACTGTGTGTGTTTGAAGGCAGTGCACTGTCAAGTAGCTCAAATTCATATTTCTCGTGTCTTACTTTGAAGAATTATTCCAGCC